CTTACGTGCTTTGAAGCTTTCAGAAACTACCCCAAACCCTGAACCCCTAAACCTGAGGTGCACTTATCCCAGCTTTGCATTGGCTGCTAATCTGCCGCGCCGGACGTGAGGCCACGCAGCCTTCGGAGATGGAGGTTCAGGGTGTAGGTTTTGGGGTTCAAGGTTTAGGGTTCAGGGTATGCACTTCGTTTTAAGCTGCCAGTTTGTGCGTTGAAAGTCGTTGGCATTGGCAGATCATACTGCGCAGCGCGAGCTTCATTGCCCGGCGACACGACACGAAGGATAAAACCATATAAAACCTCAGTTTGAACGATGCCTTGTTGAGCCCCAAACCCTGAACCAAACTCCAATCCCCAAACCTGTTGTTGAAGCCGTGCAGAGTCCGTGTTCAGCATCCCCTGACGTGACCCCCAAGCCGTCATCTGTCAAGTCTTAGTTGGATCACAGAACGGAAGCCTTTTTCCCACCCGTTGCGGTTTTTTGCTGGCAGGAGGCAGGTTCATCGCTCCTGCTTGTTATCTTCTGCGGGTCGCTTGCGACGTGGCTGGCAGTACAAGAAATGTGGCAACGTTGAGATGTTGTTGAGTTCATGATGGTAGTGATTCTAACGACAACCAGTGCGGGCAGTGTTGCTGGCCTGTAATTCCAGTCACTCCTGTTGTGAACAGAGCTGGTGGGCAATTGCACGAAAAGCGTTTAACCAGAGGCTCCATGGATCCTACCGCTATAGAAATTAGGTCCCAGCAGAGGATCGTTATTTTGGTTTTGGGGGCCAGTTGAACAGCTGCATAACAGTAATTCGTATGGACCCTCCTGGCATTTCCCGAAAATTCTGGTAACACTATGGATTTCAACAAGAACTTCGATTGCCGTCGCGCTTCCCCCCAGCCTGGGCCCGTGGTTGGAAGGAAGCCTAATCCGAACCGCGGTTGTATTGACAAGTCGTGGAACCCTTCCAGTATAACCGGAAACACATGCCACATGCCCTCAAGAATACCCTGAGAGGCACTCTATTCAGGCCCTTGACCAGGAACCCCCAAGCCCCATGTAATGTAACCTGTACCCAAGGCCTGGCTCCCACCCTGAAACATCCTCAAACCTCAATTAGATAAGAAGCCCCAGAGCACCCATACCTAACCTAGACCCCCAGAAGTAGGTGAAATAATGGCCCAATACCCATAGAAGGCTATTACTCTACGTACTTTTGGGGTAATTATCAGCCCTCTATCTATAGGAAGTCGGCAAAGGCAAGCGCCGTCTACAGCCGAAGCATCCCAGCTCCTCGGTGTGTCCTTCAGCAAACTCGATGCTGGAGGTATTGAACTTGGGGGTATGCATTGGGGGTATGCAAGACTGCCGATAAGGGTTACGATCAGTCAAGGGAAGCTCGGAAGTACAGTAGAGCTTTATGAAGGTTTCGTACATACATCTTCTTGTATCAAGAACATGTTGCTAATTCGTATAAACCCCGACATGTGAGCCGGAATCGCTGTCCCATGCAGTCAGTTTACAATGCGTTGAATCCATTTCTTCAACTTGTTTTCCAAACTAGGTAGGGCTTTGGGACATTTTATATTTCCGTGTTTTCATAGGGACCCCAAAAGGGGACCATAATTTTGACCACCACCCCTACAAGGTATTCGGTGGATGCCCGCCTGCTTGATGCTAGGAGCGTTACAGACCCGGACACTTCGACATGGTCGGCAACAGCCATCAGCACTTTGGCTCGAACAGCTTTGATCTCACATAGATGCCTGAATGATTTACCCAAACTAGGGCCCACACTGTTTCTTGGCACTCCTCCAGCCACATGATGCGAGAGTACTTTCTGCTGAAGCTATAGTAAGTTATAGTAGACCATAGTCTAGTATACTATGGTATAGCACAGTATGGTCGTAGTCGTAGTCATAGTCTTGTATAGTACAATATGGGTTTTTCTCTTCTGGACTGACTCGTGTCTTGTCCAGGCATTGTCTTTCTGTATAGAGGTATGGGGTGGTGTAGTCTCATTTGCTGTTCAGTTGCAGGCTGTGGCACGTGTTCATCTACGGCGCGATCGCCGCGTATTCCGAAGTGGCTCTGCTGCACTGGCCTCAAGATAGCAGCCACGGTACGGTGGCAGAGTTCAGCAGATAACTTCTTTGTGATGGCAGTTTTCTCAATGGCGAGTTGGATGAGGACGACTGCAGTACTGGACCATGCCAGAGCTGTCCAGCTGGTTCGGAAGAGTCAGTCCCATCCAGGTTATCGCTATAATGGTGGCACTGGCTGTCGTTGGCACGAGGTCAGCATAGCTCCTGTTCCTGCCGCTGTAGCATTGAATGCACCTCTTTGCCTCCAAGGCTGTGCAAGCAGCCATCCGGAACCAACCAAATCTGTTCAATTGCCCAGCCAGGTCCCTTAGCCCCAAAGCCCGAAAGATCCGAGGCCTTGGTGACGGTTTTCTCACTGACAGCTTCGCCTGCCTTCTGTCTCTGAGATGCCGCTGTGCAGTTTCCTTGAGCCGCCACGCTCCAAACTCTGGGGTCGAAGTCTCCGTTTGCTCCGGGGTTATGGTTGCGCAACTATCCTAAAACCAATAGCCTAAGCTGCATGAAACCCTGAAGCGGCTCGGGGTTGCGATGTGCTCTGCGAGCAAAAGCCGTGACCCAATGCGGTCCGAAGCCTTTTGCGCAAAGACTGCTTGGCGAACATGCTTCTGGTACTACAACTGCCTGAAGTGGCTCCCTAAACCATCCCTTATGCCATAATGGGCCATTCTGCCTAGACTGGGCTCCATGCTAATATAGGAGCCTTAATAATTACCTATACTATTTTGGGGGTTGCTTATTAGAATTATGGTATTATGGGTCCCAAAACCCCATTCTACTAATTGAGGCCCCTACGTTAGGCATGATCATAGCACGGAGGGAAGGTTGGTGGCTGCTTTTTGGCTAAGGAGCGCTAGCCTTTCAGTCGGGGCCTCCTGTCGTTGCATCGGATGAGCCCTAAACCCTAAACCCGAAACCCCGAAGCAAAGAGAATGAAGACCCCTTGACCGAACCTCGGACAGCTGGGATGAGTATATGGGGAGAAGGGCACCTGCATTCAGACTTCAGGCCAATGGGCCGCATTGGCTTTTAGGCTCGAGATCAGAGGCATTCAAAGCGAAGGTTCAGGGACCACAAACGGCAAGCTATGGCGAAGGCTGTGCGCGTGATTTCGATCCTGGCCGTGGGAGTTTGCTTCTGCAGCCTCCCGGCCTTCGTGCCGGGGCCTGCTCGCCCAGCTCGCAGCATGGCGCCCGCAGCTGCAGGAGCACTGAGCATGCTGGGCGCAGCGCCTGCTTTCGCGGACAAGATCGACGACGCAGCAAAGGTGCTGTCCGAGAAGTCTTACCCCTTCTTGAAAGAAATCGACTGGACCTCCGACGTCTATGCCAAGCTCCCCACCCAGCCTCCTCTCCAGGTGCTCAAGGCGATCAACACGATGTTGAAGATGGGTGCGTCCATGGACTCCGCAGCTCTGAAATCGGGTGTTCTGGCTCACAGCAAGGCCATCGCCGGCATGGACTCCAAGGGTGTCGCGACTCTTGCCGATTACACTGCAATTAATGCGGCCATCGGGCATATGATCGCTTCGGTGCCTGCATCTCAGACCATGGACGTGTACAATGCTTTCAACAAGTTCAGCCTTGGCAAGGATGTGGGCCCTTACATGATGTCCAAGGTAAATGCGGCGGATGCCAAGGCAGCTTACCAGGCATTGATGGACTTCAAGGATGTGGTCAAGGCGTCCCAGCGCTGAGCCTTCTTTTGATCCTCTTGAACATGCGCGAGATGCGTCGCATGATCTCATACACTTTCTAAGCGCATGCAGGCAGCTAGCCTGTAAACAAATTTAAGGGCTGCTGCTGCAAAAGCATTGTTCAACGATGACAACGTTTATCGGACATCGCGATGTGTTCGGCCGGAAACAGCCCCAGCTGTGAGTCATGTTTTGGTGTCTGCAGGTGCCTTCTGCCGCTACGTTTGTCCGACATGCAGCAGGGCTTTTGCGGCAGTGGTTGTAGTTCCTCGTGGTGCATGTAGCAGCAGCATCTTAACCCTAAACCCTGAACCCTGAACCCTAAACCCTAAACCCTGAACCCTGAACCCTAAACCCTAAACCCTAAACCCTAAACCGTAGCAGCAGCATCTTGTAACCAAACCCAAGGCCGAAACCCAACGCACAGGTCTCGGCTCTCGGGCTCTTGGGGCTCTTGGGGACCCAGAGACTCCAATATCCCTTAATTAAGGAGTATTCCCTAAATCATATTAATTAGGGATCGTACTATAATTTAAGGAATATTCCTTAATTAAGGGATATTGGAGTCTCTGGGGAACCTCCGAAAAAAACCCAAAACAGCTCACCTACGAAGTTTCTGAACCCTGAAGCCCTGAAGCATCCTAAACCCACAACATGCGAGAACCCTGAACCCCAAGGCCCAAACGACAATCCCCGAGTTGATTTTTTTGGAGCCCGGGTCTGAATCTCTCAAACCTAAAGCCCTGCTGAGTCCCAGTAGCTTAGGGTTTGTGCGGTATAAATCCAGGAAGCCAACTACGCCAACAAAACGACGACTATGTTGTAGAGTCTGGTTCCTTTCAGGGCCCTTAGTTACAGGAATCTGCGTCCAACAAGGTACCTTACCTGAGAGGGACTAGTACGGAGCGGTTTGCAACGAATCTTTGAGAGAATTGTAGCAACTCCCTAGGCCCGAAAACCGCCCAAATCCCAACCCCTACACCCTAAACCCCGAACCCAAAACCCTAAACCCTACCTTAACCCCGAAGAACCTACATTTTTAAGGACTTATTTCTTGAAATCATAATAAGGAAGGTAGGTTATTCAGGGTTAAGGTGGACCCTCTAAACCTTAAACCCTAAACACTAAACACTAAAAAACGCTAAACCCTAGACCCTATAATGCCTTATAAACCTTAAACCCAAATCCGGAAGCTTCCAAAAGCCGCCTGGGCCATGGCTGCACCCCTGAAAGCAGCCAGCGCCCCACTGCGGCGCTTGCTAGTTTGGGACTATGTGGCGCGGCGATCTATAGGGGTTCATAGGGTTTATAGGGTTTAGGGTCTACTTAAAAGTTCATGGGACTGAGTAACTATGGTCATAAATAAGGTTAACTATACTTAAAAATTGGGTATAACCCCAGTTAGGGTACTTATAACTGTACTTACTGAGTCCCATGAACCCGAAGCAGACATCAACGGTGTTTGTCGTGTAGGGTGGCGGGGGCCCTAAACTCTAAACCCTAAAAGGGTGCAGTAGAGGGTTGCGCAGGGATCGGAGCTATGCGGCTATGCAGGGTTTGGGGGTTGCAGGGTTTGCATCTCGGTCTCGTGGGAGACGTTCCGTCCTCGTCCTATGGCGAAGTGCTCAGGTTTCAGAGCTCTGCATGGGGGAAATTGTTGGGGAAATAGGGATTTGTGGCTTACGATCGCCGGACCTTGCATATAACTTCGCTCATAGCGCAACATGCCGTATGCCACATGGGTAGTTGTCAAAATGATGGTCCCTTTCTGGGTACCCTAAATAATAGGTGCCGTATTATAATAGGGACCCAAAAAGGGACCCTAATTTTGACAACCACCCACATGTTGCAAAGGACTGGAGCTTGATCAACACGAACTCTGCCACTCGGCGGTCAGTTTATGTTGATGGCAGCTTCCTTCTAAAGGCATCGCGGCCAAGTCAGGACGTTCAGAGTTTGATGACAACGTGTCCGACAACAGGGCCCCTTAGAGTGCATGTACTGTTGTAGTATAAATGCCCCAAGACCCTATTGTAATATAGGTGCCTAAATAAATAATTACCTATGTTATTCCTAGATTTTTGTTATGTTTATAGTAATGGGCCCCAAAACTCTATTCTAATTATCAAGGCCCCCTGCATTACATGCCTTACATCACTGGCGAGGGCTGATCAGTCCACATTTATCGTACCCTGTTAGATCCCTTATAGTACCCCTTATTGACCCCTTTAAAGGAACCCTATTCTAATCATTAAGGCCCCCTATATTGGTCATCAAGACCCCTTGCTTCTAGGTGAGAGAATTCGCTCTAGGCTCTCCATTCGTCGGAGGTAGGTTGTTGTTGGTGTTTCTTGGCATGTGATAGTAGCAATAAGTCTGTATCTACGTACGTATGCATGCATGCATGCATGCATGTCTGTATCTATGTTCGTACATCTATCTATCTATATATATATATATATATATATATGTATTTACATATATGTATATATTCATACACAGGTGTATCTATATTATGTATACACATATGTTTCCAACAGATTATAATATATACCGCATGCAATACATAGCATTAACACATGCAGCCCATGAGTGCAGAGTCAATGGTGCAGTCAACTTGCAATGTTCGACACGTCAAGACTTGGGCGCTTCTGTTCAGCAGTACACCGCATACATATTTACTGCATGTTAGTCGCGTGTACAGTATCTCAGGATACCTTCGTGGTGGAGCCTTGGCTGCATTCTGGCTTGTGTGGAATTTCCAAAGCCTCCCTAAACCCTAAACCTCTATAAACCCTAAAGCCTGATACCAAAGGCCTTCCGAGCATCGGGAGACCTCAGCAAGCTTCGGTCCTAAAGCCTAAACCTTACGACGCAACCGCCAGGCGCAATGAAAGCCCTCAGCAGAAAGCAGGATCCTAGAGGGGTTTCATACATGAGTCAGGATCGGAATAATTTGTACCTGCAGTTTTTCATAGTATAGCAAACCTCAGAGCCCCATGACTTTCTAGGGTTTAGGGTTCAAGCCATAGCAGTCCTTCTTATAAGGTGTTACCTTAGGTGGTTAGGATCCCATACTCGACTGTGCTTTCGGACGCTTTTTGGTTTGCTTGTTTGCCTGAAGGTATAACTGTCCATAATGTCACACATGTATCTTGTAGACGAGTCGTTTGATGATGATGTGTACCAGTAAATTGGTCATGCTGGTCATGTCGAACCACTGTCTTGTGTCTGAAAAGCATCTGATGTTGTACATTTAGTGCAAGCTCAGTAGAAACAGACCCAGTGCCGCGTAGGACCTGTCAAGGTTCAGCTCGAATCTCCTCTCCAGCGTCGTTTTAAGTGCACATTCACCATACAAATCCTGTAGCCTCCGACACTGCGAAGGAGAAGCTGCGGCCAGAACTAATGGCCAACTTCCGTTCGCCCTGTGACTTCGATGCACTCTTTACCAGAGCCTCCTCAGCCATCGAGGCTGTCAGCTCCTTGTTTCATAGACTGGGTAGTTTTAGTGTTGATGCTGCCAATGATCGATTATACATCGCTGGTTGTTGGGGGTCAACACAGAGACGATTTTTTGTAAGAACATTTCTCATTATCATAACGACGCAAAATGGGAGCTGCTGTTTACTATTCCGGGGTTCTCGTTTCTTAAGATATACATAATCTGTAAGCGGATCTTGACATGCAGTGTCTTTTCCTTAGATCATACTCTGGGTCCGCCTTTCCGTACACAAATCTGTCATAATTAAACTCACATGTGCTATGTTTGTTGTTGCTTCCTTACCTTAAGCCCCACCTCCGAATACCCTCAACCCCTAAACCCTGAATCCGAAATACCCCAAATACCCTAAACCCTGCAAAACCGCAGGCCCCCTTCCTTCGATCCCTTTCTTCGTTATTTCAGATCCCAAATGCCCCAAATACACTAAACCCTAAACCGTCGCTGACTGCCCTAGATCCCTGTATACATAATCTCAGATACGGTAAACCCAAATACCCCAAAGACCCTAAACCCTAAGTGCGTGGAACACGCTATCAGGATGCTCCCTGCGCAAAGGATGACACACCAAGGTGCGCAACACGAAGGCTGTTTTTGCTCGAAAAAGTTCGGAGCCCCAGATAAGCGATCGATTAGGCCATAACATTCGGGAATCACGAAAGTCGCCAGGCAATCTTGTCCTTCGGATTGGATTCGGATTAAGTACTTGTTTGGACGTTTGTGTCCCTGGAGATCGAGGTGGCCGCTCGGATTGCAATTACTGGGTTTGGGTGGTTTAAATTACGTAGGTTATCAGCCGTAACCGGCTAGGTTACGGGCTACGAGACTTGTTCGGGGTCTAGTGTAGATTCCTTCGGGAGCCATGGATGCTCTTCGCCGTAGTAGGAGAAACTTGACTGCTGGTGATCCGGAGTTGGGAGATTCTGCTATGGAGCCTGATTATACAACAGCCTTGGGTCAAGATCTTGCGCCTCATGAGGGTGTTGAATCCAAGCATGTGGGAGAGGCCTCTCCGGGAACTCTCGAGGAGGGTGGGGCTATTTCGCAGTTGGATGAGGGGCCTATTGCAAGTCCATTTCATTCTGACAAGGTCAGGGTGGAGGTGGCTTTGGCACGGAGCAGGCCTAAGTTCCTCGATGACGATGGGCGTAGGGTTGGCGATTATAGCGATACGGGGCTAGGGGATAACAGCTTGGCAGGGCGCCAAGATGAACCAGACTACTCTGGACCTGTATCAGCTCAGATGGGGCTGCCAAGGGTGGCAAGGATTGAGCATGTGGCGTCTCCGGGCGCGGCTTCAAGCGGCAAGGGTCGTGATGGTGTAGAACATTTCGATACTGCTAAAGCTGGAGCTCGGCAATCGCCGGATCATGAAGGGTCTACCGGAAAGGGTGTTGGAATTCCTGGCACTGCAAGACGGGTGTCTCAACCTATTGATTTGGATCCTGAGCCTCAGGGTAATCCCGAAAGGCCGAGCGTTGATGATCATCGGGAGTTGGTACCTGCGGAAGCTAGTAAGGCCGATCAGCTTGAGGTGATGCTCCTTCAAATCATGGAAGAGAATAGACTGCTCCGGGATAGGTTGGATCAGGTTGAGAGGTCTAGTTGGCATTCCGGGGGTACTAGGAATACGGGTGATTTGGCTGGTGCATCACCTATGTCTTTCGGTCCTGACCATACGCTAGCGGTGCAACCTGTACAGGCTGAGCCACCTAGAGTGCAATTGGATGCCAGTGGGAATGATCACCGGGATATGAGAGCCGGGGGTTTAAGTCTAGTTCCATCTCGACAGCTGGAGCTAGTTGCTCCAGGCCAATCTTCTGGACTGCGGAATCTCAATGTGGGTGCTTCCCAAGCCGGATTTTCAGGGCCGGGCGACGCGTTGTCACTGGACGTTAGGACACAGTCGTTTAGAGATTTCAGACAGATGGTTGAGGATCAGGGTCAGAGTAGTAGGGGTGATGCGGGCTTTCATACTCCGAGGTCGGGCCCTTCTGTGGGGTTGATGTTCTCTGGGGATGGTTATCCGGTTTCTCCTGGAGGGACTGTTATCCGGCCTCCGCCTGGACCGCCACCTACCTCGCCACGCGTAGCGCCTGCGCCTCCTGTTTTGCCTAGTGGTCTGGGTTGGGCTGTGCCATGTGCTGCTTCGCCTGTTGGTTCTGGGATGCCCTGCGGTTCAGCGGTTCCGGGATACACGGGTGGCCACGGTATGGGTCAACGAAGTGTTGGAGGGGCTTTCGCGGGTTCTGTTGGGGGTCTTGGGGCTTCTTGTGGGATGCCTGTTGCCTCTGGTGGTAGAGGGCCGCTTAACCCAGAAGAGCCGGCGAAATACATCAACGAGCTTCCGAAACTAACTCAGACGGACTTGTCACAATCAGCTGTTGTGTGCGGGAATTGGGTCGCTCAGATTCGGCAGATCCTTGTGCGGTTGTCTCCTAACGCAAGTACGTGGTGGCTTGGTGTGGAGGGTCCTGCAAATGAAGCATATCAAAAGTGGTTGGTGGCTGACCCACTGGGGAGGTTGGCGATTGATCCCTCGATGGTAAAGGGAACCTTCGATGTATACACGTTTAGCCGGGTAGAAAGTCGGGCTGTAAGCTTGCTACTTTCTGCTGTTCCACAGGGGGTTAGGGAGGATGTTGTTACCAACCGTTGGCTTTCTTCGGCGGCCATCCTTTTTAGGATTCTATGCTTGTTTCAGCCTGGAGGTAGTACCGAACGAGCACACTTGTTGAGCCCTCTGGTGAACCCTGGGGTATTTAAGGGCTTTTCGGAGGCACTAAAAGGTCTGAGGCAATGGCAACAGTCGCTGCAACGGGCAGGAGAAATACACGCCACCCTACCGGACCCTAGCCTTTTGCTTAAAGGGGTGGATGGTGCTACGGGGTCGCTTCTGGCTGCTCACCCTATGGTCGGGTTCAGGGTAAACGCGTTTCGACACCGTTCTGCTATCGATTATAACCCGTCCGTGGATGGGGTTGTTCAACTAGTGAAACTTATTCGGGCTGAATGTGAAGCGGGTTCTTTAACTATGGATCCTCCTGATAAAAAGGCGCGTGCGGCCGCTCTTGCTGCGTCAACTGCTTCTGCGGAGGTTGCTTCGGGGGTTGAGCCTAAGGGTCCTTCTGTTTCAGCGGTGCAAACTGGAAAGGGTGGGGATTCTGGGTCGGGTGGACAACCGAAGGGCAAGGCTAAAGGTAAGGGGTCGGGGGAAAACGCGTCACTGTGTACAAACTTCTCAACCGCCGTGGGGTGTCGCTTCGGGGATGCTTGTAGATTTAAACACGACCGAGCGGTAGCTAGGAGGGAGAAGCGGTGCTTGGCCTGCGGACAATCGGGACATTATAGGCCAGAATGCTCTGTAGTGCCGGAAGAGCATAGGCGGGTTCAGGTTCCTGATAGTGGTTCGGATGCCTCCCCTAAGGCTAAGGCCAATCCTAAAGCTAAACCCAAGGCCGGTCCGCAGGCAAAGGGTGTTACTGAAGAGTCAGCGAGTGCAGCTTCGATTTCTCAGACACCGCAGCCAAAGGCTGCTGCCACTTCGAGTGCAACGGTGCAGCAGGAGTTGCTGGCAGAAGCTCAGAAGTTACTTAAGGGCGTAACCTTGAAGGCTGCTAGGGTTCAGGATGGTGGTGATCTTGCAATTGATAGGGCCTGGCTTCTGTCGGCTATGGCTAGTGCGTCGGATCCTGATTTTGCGCTTGTGGACAGTGGAGCCACAAATGGGTTTAAGGCAAGCGGAGCCGGGCGAATGGGAGCGTACTAGGGCCATTCAGGTTGATTTAGCTTCCGGAGTTGCGGAGCTTCACATTGATGAGAGGGGGACTCTCTTGAGCCAGGCTCCCTGTCAGGTCATAGTCCCTGCCGGTTACTTAATTGAACTGGGTTATGTTGTGAGCTGGAAGAAGAAGGGCTGCTTGATTACTCATCCTAGGGATGGTAGGCTTCGGGTACAGGTAGTTAAGGGATGCCCACTGATTCCGAGGGATGATGGCTTGAGATTGCTGCGGGAGTATGAGGGTCTTAAGGATAAAGGAAATTCCCCCCAACGGGCGGCGGTTTGTCGGGAGAGTGAGATTGTTGATCCTGCGAATGCACGGGCTTGGTTATGCAAGATTCTTCGCTCCAGGGGCGAACAGGGTCCGTCTATTGAGGAGCAGGAGTGTTTTCTCAGGGGGATGTTTCCCGAACTGCCGGATAATTGTGTTCGGAGGGTAGTTTGTCCGGTGTTGGACCCTGGAGATGTTGATCACTCGTCTCACCCTTGGAATCGGCGCTTTCGTCGGTCTGTTGCGCGTTCGAAGCCTGGCGGTATCTTGCTTCATATGTTTGCCAACAAGAAATCCTGGAAGGGTTTCGACCGGGTGATTAGCCTCGGTAAGGATTACCAGTCGGACATCCTGAGTGACCCGGTGTTTAAGTATGTGATGTCGTGGGCCAGTTCAGGGAAGATTGGTGGTTTGGTTGGATCATTGCCGAGAGAGTCGGTCTGGCCTGGCGGTCAATCTTCTGGTCCCCAGGAACTTTTGAGGGGTAGGTATGGCGATCGTTGGGGTTTTGAGGGCTTAACCGGAGAGCAGTCTAGGGTTGTATGCGATGAAACGGTTCAGTGGTTCCGATTCTTTCTGGTATTTGCGATAGCACAAGCGGTTAAGGATGCTGAGAGTGCTCCGATGAGCTGTCCTGTAGCGGAAAGGGGGGAGGAGGAGGTCCCTCCACCTGGGGTCGAGGATCCCAAGGATTTAGCTTTGTGGGCATTACGGGTTGCGTCTAAGAGGATTAGTGCTGCTGCCATTAAGAAAGACAACGAGGGGAATCGATCCACTGTATTCTTGACCTTTGAGCATCCTTTTGATTTCACGGAAGGTTCCGGCATTGGTCGGACGGAGCTCGCTGGGTATCCTTCTATGTGGGCATTTAGGGAG